CGCCCCTTACCATACTGTGATGCCGTGTCCCGGAGCGACGAGACAAAAACATTTAAAACCCATTATAAACGAGGCATTTGTTGCATCCAGTGGGGACCTAATTACGGATTATAATGACTTATACTGTTTTTTTACGCGTTGCGTTGCATCGCACTGCGTAAACATAAAACCATGTCTGCATTTGTGATCGGAGAAATGACAAACAACAAGTGCTACTCTACACTGCTCAAAACTCGCGTTTGAATCATCATTGGCAAATTCTTTAATTATGAAAACGTACTTACAGGCTGTGAGTCAGAACAGCTGGCATTGTTGTCTACTCTCCCAGGATCAGGAAACAGTCATAAAATGCGCTGCACACATCTGAATATTTGGGTTGAACTGTTCTGGAACAGTGTTGTAAATACAACTTAACCACTGATTTCTAGTCGTGTCCTCTTTTGGAAGGCCAAACAAAGTATTTTCGCTTTCGCAATGAAACACACAGCGTCTTCACAACATGGCGGCGGCAGTGGCTGCAACAATAAAGTTACGCCTTCTTTCTTTGCATGAACATTTGGGCGGTGTTATGCAAATCTTCCCACACAGTGACGTAGACATGTGGGGCGTGTTTAAATGAGGCGTTTTAGGAGGGCATGGACGAGTCTTAACTTTTATAAAAAATATCTCTTTGTGTTTGAGACTTTAGTCTGTGCAACTTCAGGGATCTTATCTATTCACAAACAGCTTGTAACACTCCAAAGAGAAAAGAAAACTTGAAATAGCATCATATGGCCCCTTTAAAACACGTTACTAACGCCAACAGTCAAAAAAGTTTCACAGAATTATGAATGTAAGCTACCTGAAAGTGATGCACGGGCTTCATCTCAGGCTTTTTTCTTTTTCTTTTCTCTGCGCGGGACTGCGCTGATGTCTTTTCCCTGATATAGCCTAGTTGTCCATTAATTATGATGATCATTTGTATTCAGCCGCAAACATGAGTGCATGAACATTTGGGCGGTGTTATGCAAATCTTCCCACACAGTGACGTAGACATGTGGGGCGTGTTTAAATGAGGCGTTTTAGGAGGGCATGGACGAGTCTTAACTTTTATAAAAAATATCTCTTTGTGTTTGAGACTTTAGTCTGTGCAACTTCAGGGATCTTATCTATTCACAAACAGCTTGTAACACTCCAAAGAGAAAAGAAAACTTGAAATAGCATCATATGGCCCCTTTAAAACACGTTACTAACGCCAACAGTCAAAAAAGTTTCACAGAATTATGAATGTAAGCTACCTGAAAGTGATGCACGGGCTTCATCTCAGGCTTTTTTCTTTTTCTTTTCTCTGCGCGGGACTGCGCTGATGTCTTTTCCCTGATATAGCCTAGTTGTCCATTAATTATGATGATCATTTGTATTCAGCCGCAAACATGAGTTGAGAGCGAGCGCGGGCGCATATGTGGGAATGGCGCGTCATGTGTGCTTATACTGCCTACTGCGTTCATCATAAAATGCATTTTTTATAACTATATATATGTGTTCATGTTTTGTTTTTTATTTATGTATATGTTAATATTAATATAGAACGAAATTTTTTTTTTTTTTTTGAGCAACTGGGATGGTGCCCCCCTGGGAGTTGGTGCCCTATGCAAACTGCGTACTCTGCCTATAGTGTCGGTGGTACTGATGTTTAATTTATGTTTGAATAAATCCATCAAGTTCTTATGACAGCCACCATTTAAATGTTTAGATTTAAAAAAAATGAATTGAAGTAGAAATATTAATATGTAACTTCATTATTGTAAAAACGTAATTAATTTTAACCTTCGATATTATAGTAATGTTGTACCAACTGACTCTCATGTATATTTTACAGCATTAGTTTTTTAGATTTTTTTTCCTTGAGAAAATTTGGCATGTACTGTACCTAATATATATCCAAAATAATTGATATTGAATCGAATTGAATCGAATCGAATTGGTAATCAAATTGAATTGCAAGCATCAAATTGATAATCAAATCGAATTGCAAGCTTGTGAATGATAATCGAATCGAATTGTGAAATTTGTGTCAAAACCCAGCCCTAGTAAGCTGTGCACAGTGTAATGCACAAACCAAGCCGAGTGCTTTTATATTAAGAGCTTTAAACAAATGAATAAAAATAATGTTTGATGCAGGTTGCTGTTTAATGTGTTAGAGAAGTGTTTCCTCAGCTCATTCCCCACTTACTTTTTATGTTTGTATCTTTATTCCTGTATTCCATTTTGCGTAATGCTGAATAAGTGTAATAGTTTTTTAGGATGTATTTTTACGAGGTTGTATTTTCTAATAGATTTTTATTTTTATTTTTTAGGCTTGTATTTTATTCTGAGTATATTATTGTCTATTGTCTGTGTACTGATGGATGTAATGAAAAGTCGTTGTGTACTAGCCATTGTGAAAGCAATGACCGCAGTTATTGTGTTTCGTCTGCTCGCTCTGAGGCACAAGTAATTTATTATATATGAAAATGATTATATTCAGTTGCTTCTCCTACTTTTCTCAGTGAGATTTAGATCCAGTTTTAGGAAGTGACGATTTTGTTCTCTTTGACTTGTTGGATGGAAATGGTGCTTATTCGCAAATGTTTTATTCAATATTCCAATTTTGTTCATAAGTTCGACAAGTTCGATAATAAAATCCAACTTTGGATGGAAACCCTGCTAGTGTGTATTTGAGCACCATGAGTCCAAGGCAAATTTCCCTTCAGGTACAATAAAGTGTACTGTACTGAACTCAGTTGAACTGAACAAACAGATGGAGTGCAATAGAATGGGAGCACAATAATACCTTTTTTTAATAAAATACAAAATAAAATAAAATCTTTTATCCAATTCGAAGAAATAATCAACAGATTAATAATCGTTAGTTTCAACCCTGGTGCATTGGAACTAAATTGGCCTGCATACTAATTTTGCATTTGTAAGTAAAATGTGAAGTATGATGTTATGTAATTATGTTTAATGGAACTGTTATTTATATTTATTTATAAAATTATTAATATTATTATTAAATAAAAAATGGTTCCTCAGTCCCAACCCTAATTTAAAAAAATAATAATTAATTAATTAATTTGAAAGTGCTAGTAATAATCCGGACTCAGTATAAACTTCTGTTTATTCAGAAATCAATTACATTTGTTAAAAAAAAAGAATAAAATACATAAATACTATAGATAGATTATTTTTATGACTTTTGCTTACATTAATGGTTTTTGAATGTGTCTAAGCCTTCACCAGTGTGGATGGAATATCATATTAAATCTAAAATACTTGTTTATTTCTCAGCACATAAAATTCAGATGCTTTTGTTGCATGACCCTGTTGTGACGGCTGTAAACCAGTGTAATCCAATTCATGAACAATTGACTTCTGTGGTCTGGTTCTGTTTAATGAATTGGTCTAAACGACTCACAGCCGATGAAGCCATTGGTCTAAAACTGCTCAATTGCTGACTGAATCATTCAAAGTGTTTACTGAATTAACATCTGACTCATTTGCTGAATTGCAAGTCCTTACTTTCAGTCATATCTGACTCAAAATTCACAATGTAGTGTTATGATGTACTTGAGATTTATGAGACTTGTGTCAATGTAGTTGCTCTTCAGTGGGTTAAACCCTATACCCAGTTTCTTTCTTCACCTCTCTTCCCCCCATCTTTACCTTTTACCGTTCAATTTCTTGTTTCTTTTCTGTGTCTCGATTCCCCGACTGTATTACTTAATCATCCCTGCTGTAATCCCAGTATGGACTGCTTTGCCCTCACCAGATAAACCCCATTTGTCTCTTTCTGTGTCCTATCTCCCATCTTCCCCTCTTTTTCTCTCCTTCTCAATGCTAAACCACGTGCTAAAGATTACATGCATAGCTTGATTCATAGCTTAGATGAGCTGTAAGCCTTACAGAGGACGTCTCAGCTCAGGACGGACACGTTCCATCGTTCATAACGTTATCTGTGAGGAGAAGCGACTACGTGCTGGGGACTCGCTACAAGCTGTTATTTGTTTAGCTTGTTAATTCTGGACCTGAGAGCGATTCAATTCTCTGTCTTCTGCTCCCAGACGTTGCCCACCACAGCTACGTGGTCATACACACGCACACGTACATGCATACATGCTACGCAGGTTTGATCTCTCTGTGGGTTTCAGCAGGATGCATTGAAATTCGCTGCCACTTATAGTCGAATCTGTGGAGAGACTCTGCCAAATTCAGACGTGGATTTAAACTGCTCAATTCCCTCAGAAACGAAGGATCTTCATTACTCTGCAATTAATTGTGAAAACACCGTGAGAGTGTTCGTCTTCAGAGGCTCATTATAATCTCTCTACGAGACAATGAGCTTGTTTGTGGTGCTGATTGAAGATGCTTTAGTCTTAATATATTATGTGTGCGATATACTGTAGCTGATTTGGCATTAAGCTTTATACAGATTGAACTGTATACACTATAAATATGCATGCCAACTAGATGGTCTTATTGACATATAGACAGTGATGTACATATGTTTACTCTTTGTGATAATTAGGCTAATAAATCTGCAACAAGTTGCTAATTCACATCTTTGTGTGTGTATATAGAAAATTTCCCTTTTTAGGGATTTAATTTAACAGGTAACATTTGAAAATGAATACATTTTTATTTTATTGTATTTTTTTTATTTAATTCAGTTTTTTTTTTCTATTTCACTAATGTTAATAGATAAAAGGCTAAAAAAGTTTAGCAATGAATATTATCATTTTAGAGAAATCACAGTGAAAAAGCTGTTAGTTCACAGTGGAAGAAAAGGTTTATTGTTTTTAAAGTTTCATTGTTAGTTCACAGTGAAAGCACAGTGAAAAAGTTGGTAAAGCCCATGAAAAGTATTTATTATTTTGTTTGGTTTTGTCAGTGTTAATAGGTAAATGGCAATAAATATAATGTTCTTGATTCTTATTCTTCTTCATTTGAAACCTTTCTTTTCCTCTGTCTTCTCATTTCAGTGGGAGGAAATCAGCGGTGTCGATGAGAAATACAAGCCCATTCGCACATATCAAGTATGCAACGTGATGGAGCCCAGTCAGAACAACTGGCTCCAGACGGGTTGGATATTGCGGCAGGGCGGCCAGCGCATCTTCATCGAGCTGCAGTTCACTCTGCGAGACTGCAACAGCATCCCAGGCGTGTCCGGGAGCTGTAAAGAGACCTTCAACCTCCTCTACGCCGAGTCCGACTGGGACCTGGGCCGCATCACCCGCGAAGACCGCTACAGCAAAATCGACACCATTGCGGCAGATGAAAGTTTCACGCAGGGTGATTTGGGAGAACGAAAGATGAAACTTAACACCGAAGTCCGTGAGATAGGACATCTCAACCGCAAAGGATTCCATCTGGCCTTCCAGGATGTGGGCGCATGTGTCGCGCTGGTTTCCGTGAGAGTGTACTACAAACGTTGTTTATCAACGGTGCAGAATTTAGCAGTGTTCCCGGATACAGTAGCTGAAGCTGCTTTCTCGACTTTGGTGGAGGTGAGAGGGTCGTGCGTGAATAACTCTGAGGTGGACACAGACAGTCCTCCCAGAATGCATTGCAGTGCTGAAGGAGAATGGCTGGTGCCCATCGGGAAATGCAGCTGCAGCGCTGGGTATGAGGAGGGACACAGCAGCTGTGAGGGTAAGAAACACTCTTCCACCCAAACCTTTCTAGTGTAGCACCAAAGTTTATGTTTAAACTCATAATGGTTTGATTTTACCACAAAGCAACCTTGGTGAAAAAGCAGTCCTTGCGGTCTCATAATGATTATGCAGGTAATCAGCGTTTTTTATGCCAGATGATGAAAGGTTTGGTCTGTTCATTAATGTAATAGTTCATCCAAAAATGCAAATTGTTATCGGTTACTCACCCTTAATTTTAAACCTGTATGACTGACCTTCTTCCATAGAACACAAAAGGAGAAATTTGAAAATGTGTTTATCTTTTCCATGGTTTTACACTCAGTATGGACTGAAGCGTTCAATCTTTGAAAACAATGCTAAAATATCATAAAAGTGATCAATATGAATCATGCACTATATTGGAGTCTTTTTGTGATTGTTTTATTTGAAAACCAAATGATAAAAATTAACTATTCATGGAAAATCTTACCATTCAGTGAGCAGTTAACCATTGCAACCAGATCATTGAATCAATGAGCTGCACCAGATCAGTTTCATTTATAAATTAATTGTTCTGACCATTTTTGTGAACTGGATTCACTGACTCAAAAAAAAAAAGTGGTAACACGAATACCATTAGTTAATTTTAGTTAATGTATTGTATGTTTGTACTTTTTTGTCATTTTGTTGCTTGACAGCCTCAGTCATCATTCATTTTCATTATATTGAAAAAAAAGTAGCCAGTATATTCTTCAAAAATCTTGTAAGAAAGAATGTAAGAAAATCATACAGATTTGGAACAACATGAGGGTGAGTAAATTATGTCAAATTTTATTCTCATTTTATCAAACGCAGAGGATTTAGTCAGATTGCATTTTTAGATGTGTTACATGATGGTTTTAGAAGCTCCCTGCTGTTTGGTTGCTTTGACGTGGGTCAGCGACTCTAACAGTCATCCGTTTGGTTTCACTTCAAGGGTCAGAAATACGTCAGCGCTGACTGAGAGTGTCATGCTCTCTGAGGTTTCTGTGTGTCAGTGTTTGAGTGGTGGAATCTCTCCTCCTACTACAGCTGTATGTCATTTGAACAGTGCGACACTGCGTTATCAACAGCCGCTACAGGACATGGAGTGTGTGTGTGAGTGTGTATCTTTGTCAGTGTGATATTTCACAGTTCATCTTGAAGAATTGTGTGATGCAGTGTGGGAGTTGTAGTCAGATCACACGTACAGCAGCAGGCTGTTACAACAGACCCTGCATTGTGTCTTTATTTTGTTATTGTTGTCAGTGAATCATAACTCACTAAGAGGCATGTGATACGTGGGCGAAGTAAACTTACAAACAAATACATATTGAATTAAAAAAAAAAAAGCTATTCTTTGTAAACCTGAAGCTCTTTAATGACAAATGCTCTTATTTGAAAGAGATGTCAAACATAAACTTGTACATGCCCATAATGCATGTTCATTTTTTATATAATATAATATAACATTTATTTACAATGGTCATTTTTGGATAGGCTCCTTTTTAAAAAATATATTGTTAATTTTTTTTATCTAATCTAATACATAATTTTGGAGTTGATAAAAACATGTTTAATAATAATAATGTTTTAATACCATTTCAAATACCAGCAATTCATTACTTTCAGTACCGTGGTATATATCTAATTGCTGTGGTTTTCTTGTGTGAAACCAACATTGTATCATGGTACTGCCACAGTATGTTTTTGGGATATAAATGCTGTGGTGTGTGGATTATTAAGTACCATGGTAAATAATTCAAACTACCATGGTATTGCTATCTAATGACATTACTATGCCTGTGTATAACCACAGTATTATTTTGGG